CCTCGGCTTTTGTCCAACATGTTGATGATTACTGCCATCTATTGGCTAAAAATTATTTGGCTTGAACTATTAGCCAATATTTAGCTCAACATTTACAAATTGACGCCTTTGTCCATATGCGGATGTGTTGAACTTAGCCTAGAGATTGGATCTGATTTAGGATTATCGAAATTCCTTTTTCTGTATCAATTTCTACTAGTCTCGTATGGTAGAGGTATTAATTTCGAAAATTAAATAAAAATTTTTCTAAAAATCATAAATGTATCTATTTAGACCGATTCAAGCATGGCATCTGCCAAGAAATCATCAACTACGCCAAACCCATTATTAAAAACTTATGGTGAACGTCCAGTACCATTTCAATTTCCGGGTAATCCAGAAAAAATGTATATTGGATCCGAAGTAAGTTATTTTTTTAATAGTTTTCTCTCAAAAACTATCTTTTTTTTATAAGGTTGGCAACTATTTACGTTTATTTCGTGGAACACTTTATAAAAAATATCCATCGTTATGGCGTCGTATGATTAATTCAGAAGAAAGAAAATGGCTAATTGAATTAGGTTGTTCAGAATCAGCATTGCCAACAAATTTAACACTGTTACGTGCAAGTGAAGTTGAAGAAATATTAAGTGGAGATGATGAAAAATATCGAGCCTTAACTTTAAATAGTGATGCAGCAGCAGCAGCAGCACGAGGGTAAACATAATGTTTACTTCTTTTTTTATATAAGAATTATTCTTTAGAGATAAATCGAAACGAGCAGCATGGGTACCAACTTTCCCAACGAATTCTCATCATCTTGATGCTGTACCAGCAGCAACCCCAATCAATCGAAATCGAACAACAACTAAGAAGAAAACTTTTCCTTTATGGTATGAATTTTTTTATTTTAGTATCATTTGAAAACAATCTTTTGTTCTTTAGTTTGGATTATACGGACGCATCTATGGCTATCGAGAATGCTCAACAATCGGAAGATCTGGTTCCGATTCGACTTGATATGGAAATTGAAGGACAAAAATTACGTGACACTTTTACATGGAATAAGAATGGTGAATAAACGAAAATAGACTAGAATACTAAAAAAAACTATATTTTATTTTTTGTGTAGAACAATTAATCACGCCAGAGATGTTTGCTGAAATTCTTTGTGATGATTTAGATCTGAATACATTAGCATTTGTACCTGCCATTGCACAAGCCATAAGACAACAATTAGAATCACATCATAATGATGTGTTAGAAGATAATACTGACCAAAGAATTACAATAAAAGTAATTAAAAGATCACTATTGTAATCGAAATGGAAAAAAAGCGAATCGAACTTAACTTTTAATTATATTCGTTTTACTTTCTATTCGAAACAAGAATAACGAAGGGTATTATTTCATATCAGTTCAAAGAGAATGGTGGATGAAAGTAGAATGTCAAGAGTTCACTTATTGGAATGCGCATCACACATTGATTGAGTTTTTGAATCGATTAGCTGCGTTATTCGCTTTTTCACTACTATCTGATTAACTATATTTTGTTTTTGCATCTTTTTAGTTGAATATTCATGTTGGCAATGTTAGTTTAGTAGATCAATTCGAATGGGACATGTCCGATAAACAAAATAGTCCCGAAGAATTCGCTCGTATATTAGCATCTGAATTAGGTACGACGATTAAAAAAGATCCAATCAATATATTTATATATTTATATAGGCCTTGGCGGTGAATTTGTCACTGCAATAGCATATAGTATTCGTGGACAACTTAGTTGGCATCATAAAACATTTTCCTATAGGTAAATTAAATGAAAATTTTACAATGGTGAACGATTTGTTTCCTTTTCCTAGTGAAACACCAATGCCAACAGTTGATATTGCTACGAGAACAAACCACGATGCGGAACAATATTGTCCATTTTTGGAAACTCTCACAGATGCCGAAATGGATAAAAAGATTCGCGATCAAGATCGCAATACAAGGTAAACATTTATTTCGAATAAATTCAAACGAAAATTAAACTCTATTGATTTATTTTTAGACGTATTCGTCGTTTAGCTAACACTGGTTCAGCTTGGTAGACATAATTGTATTTCACATTTTTTTTGCTGTTGTTAGTCTGTCATTTGTCAAATTTTTTCTGTGAATAGAAAATAAATGCAAAATAGCTATTAATAACAAAAGCTCCGTTGTTTAGAACAGAAATATGCGAACTTTATCTAGGCATCTTTTTTACTAAGCACTCTACAATAAGCCATATTAGCTTAATCAATTTTCTTATCAATTAATCTTTGAAACATTTTCGTTGCACTCAACAATATTATTAGAAATATTTTTCTAAAAGAAAATGAATCTATCAAAAAATATATAATCAATCAAATCGATATAAGTATTACAATAAATAATCTTGTGGAATTAAAGAAAAGTTATTAATCACAAAGCTTAGAGCTTTATGAACCAATAAATGAGCTGTCTTACAACAGCTATGGGTATATAGAGAATGATTGCAAAACAAGCGACATCTAATTATCATGATCAATAAGTAAGCGAAGGAAAATTACATTGAACACATGGAAAATAAATCTTCATTTTCTCATCATTACTCGTAGCTATACGATCATGAAATCAATATTTCTGTCGCTTTTTTCTCCTCATAATTTGATCAGCAACACATTGAAATCCATGCTGAAATTTGACTCGTCATATAGACAGTTCATTTCATGTGCTGTAACGGTTTCAGAAAACCCATATTTTTCAAACACTCCTAATACTTCTGTTAAAATCAATGAAAATTAAAGATTCTTCCATTGTAAACTAGCTATCTGTCGATCGATCATTATTCCAGAAAAAGAAAACAGGAATTATATTGCATCTCGATTAGGCTAACATCATCAATAACAAACAAAAACTATGTTTGAATTAGTATTTGTAATGATATGCTTAGAAATATCATCACTAACTTTATTAGGAAAATAAGACATACAATATTTTCGATAGACCAATGAAAATATGATTATATTCTTTGTTCGGTTCATCAGATGCAATATTTATTATTTCTGTCAGACACATCTCATGATATAGATTCTCAGCTAGATGCGTTCGCAATGGCTTTCATTGTAAAAGCAATTATAGGAGTTATTAATCCGCATGTTTTCGAATTTCATATAAGACTATCGATGATAATGTTCAATAACGGCTGTCAATTTCATGGACGACAGAATTCTTGTCATATAGTATTTGTGTCTTTATTTTGTTTGATTTACCTAAAATGAGTAAATTGTATTCAAATGATTTTGATCGACATGAAAGATATATCGTCTAGTCTATCATCCATAAGCAAAATGACTTTTCACACAAAAATCCGCATAGTGAAAAACTTATGTAATTGTATAACCATAAAGTGTTCACCGAATAAGAGTCTATGAATAATTTAATAGTTTTTATGATCGTATTGTTTGTTTAAATACAAAAGTCCTTGTTCGATCTTCAAGCAACCTTGCAGTAAATTGATCAAACATTTAACGCTCGAAGTTAAACATTGATGTCTCATTAGAACCGAATCGTTTTTCTCAACAAATCAATCGCCATCTCTTGATTCTTCTTCGATGATATGATCATTAAATAAACTTCTCAGAGATAAATAATAGTTCAATCAATTCGTTTCACTGATTCTAAATTGGTATTCAAAGATTATGACCTTGTACTCTAGTTCACTTCGATACCATGGTTTTAGCTTTCGAAATTTTCTATTTTTTAATTTGATCATAGGAATGAATATGTAATCATTTATTTTGCATATTTACTCAAAGCCTTTTTATAAAATAAAATGTTCAATATCTTGTTAAACAGAGCGTTTTGGAACATTTATTCTGTATTTTTTTCTTAAATTAATTGCAAATTCTTCAGTAGCATCCATGTTAGAATTTTCTCAAACATAAATCATGAACACAACTTCGTATACAAGAAAACATGAGATTTTCACGATATCTACCTAGGCTTGAATAGAGTGCATCGGGTGACATAGTAAAAAGTAATTTTCTTTTTTTCCCTTAATTTTTACTCGACACATTTTGCCGAAAAACGAACATTTAAAAAAATACTATTTAACTGACTAAAACGGATAAAAGGACATTTTAAATCTTTTTGTTGTTCTGTCGAACCTATAAGCGAAAATGCTCTATTCTGATTCATTCATCGAATTGACTATAAAAATGCTTTTTGACAAATGTTTTCACTGTCAATTTGATGTGTTGAATCAGCAAGAAAAACACTTTAATATGCAAGAAAGGACGAAATAAAAATACCTTTTTACTTCACTAAAATATTTAAAAAATGCTGGTATTTTTTCCATCAGTTTTTTATTGTTTCGGAAATTGTTTCTCGGTAAAAAATCGTTATGAAGATGAAAATATAATTCATCGAGATCAATAGGTGTACTCTATTCCGCCATGTTTAGATACAATCAATCAAAACAGGAACTCGTAACAATTTTACCTCTGCAGACCTTTCGAACCTGAAAAATGACTTTCGACATTCATAAGTTTTCACTTTTTTTAAAATGATGATTCAGTGGATCTGTCATTATTCTTCGTAGTAGATAATATAACTTGGCAGTAATTACGTTTAATTACAAATACTAGATTGGAAAGATGATTTTTTTTCTTCTTCAGTTAACACTTATTAATTGATCGGAAACTTAGAATGTATCTTTGAAGTAGAATATTGAATTTTTTTTCAAACGAACACAATCGACAGGTGTGTTTCAATCGATGACTTGCGCTTAAAATTATGAAATCCTGTCATTCCACACACTTTTGTATTGGTTTGTTTTTGAATCCAATCATCATCAAGGAAATATTTGTAATCTGATGACTAATAAATATCTTGATTTTGGTTGCCTTTTCTCCTTTCCTTTGATGTCTGCTTTTCTTTTTCATCAACAAGATTTGATTGTGAATCGATAAAAAATATCTAGTTTTTAATTATTTTCTTACGTAAGAAATTCGTAGATGGCAGAGGCATCATCAACAAGTCAACACAAATATCTCGATGATTTCTATCAAAGTGTTCTATCAAAAGAACCAGCTGTTCGATTAGAATGTTTTCCTTCGCTTGAAAATTATTTATCTGATGTAAATACATCACTTGAATGTGGAGATCTGACTGGTTTCATTGATGGTTTATATAGATGGATTGAAGGCAGTAATGCTCGAGTATGATTTTTCAATTATTCTTTGGTTTTTTTGAGAATATCCGATCGATATTTAGATTGCTGGTAATGGTCTTCGAATATTGGAATTATTTCTTGATCGATTAGATTCAAACGAATTCGCATCCTATCTCGATAAAGGTATTTAACGAAGTTTGTTAAGTGACATAAAAAGAAATGGATCTTCTTCTTCTTCATGTAATCAGTCGTATCAATAACAGTTGATCGATTGGGCGATGCCAAAGATCAAGTAAATAAATGGTTACATAATTAAGTTCTGAAATAATAAAATTTTCTTTAGGTTCGAGAAACTGCATCTAACCTCCTTATGAAATTAATGGTGTCATATGCTCCACAAGTAAATTGTGCTAATTACAATAAATATTGTGTTTATTTATCTGTTGTTTATTTTTTTTATCTAGCGTATATGGGATTTAATGCAGCCCTTATCATTTGATCATAAACAATATCGTGTTAAAGATGAAAGTCAACGTTTGTTAATAAGATCATTAAACGAGTATGTACTTAAACATAATTAATTATTCAGCAAAAAAGAAAGCTAACTCGAATAAAAGAGAAAACATAACTTACTGATCAATCTTCTGTTCTTTCAATTGTAATAAAAGCCGATTTTTTTTGTAAAAAAATTTTGTTATTCTAACGATTGCTAGAGTTTTTCATACGGACACAGTGACAGCGGAGAAAAGTAAGCGTTTAAACGGTAAACAAATAAGTCTCTATATTTGCCTAATAATTGAACGCATACGATCTACCGCTGGTTACTCTAACTCGACTTTTTCTTTTTCTCTCCCACACCTATAGATATAGTTGTCCATGTCTACGCCCTTCTATCATCATTGATTAAAGAGATAGTATAATAGAACGCAAGAGAAGTAGTCGTCATACAACTGGCCAACGGTCAACGACCGTGAGAAAGATCAAGCGATATAGCAGAGAGAAAGGAGAAACATCTATTCTTACTATCTAATGGTACACGCATTAAGGACAGTCACGAAAGGTTTTGTGCTCATCTTGTCTCTTTTTTGTGTCACTCATCGTACTTTTTGAGTGGCAAGTCAAGATCATTACATTGATCATAACTCAAATGCGAAGCAATATGTTAACAAATCAATCAGCTGCTAAATCTATTCCAAATATAGAGTAAGTTCTATAGATATCACTTTTCCTATTATATCACTATTACAGAATCGTTGCGTTCTAATTGTAAAAAAGAAGCACACATTTTATCTATCCTTATGAAGTTTACATTCTCATGATGAGCTACTTTGTCTCTTATTCTTAAAAGTACGACAATGCGACTGCCTTCTATGTACACATGCTTACAAATATACACAAGGCAAGACAGTGTGCTATGTACACAGCAAATAGATAGAGATATAATGATCGTTAAAGTACATTACGCAAGATGCAAATGACATATCTCTCTCACTAATGATCGTCGTTGCCTTTAACCCTGTCTATTTAATCCAAACGAGTGTTATTCTTCTTGTGGATTTCGATCTTTTCTTTCTTTTTCTTTCTTGTCTTGTCAACTGTGAGTTGATTTTGACACAAATAAACTCTCGTGTCAGTAGACAAGAAAAGGATTAAAATTTTATTAACCCCATGAATATTGTCTAGTCCATATGAAACAAACTAATTCAATACAGATTATCAATGATAAGTAAGTGAAATAAAAGTAGATCGTTTTTCTCTTTATTTTAATTTAAGATACATAACTGATTAAATTAATTTTGATGAATATCTTATTTCGTTTTTTTCTTTAGGTTTGGATCATCAACAATTCAACTTAATAAACTAGTGCCACTTATTTGTAAACTGATATCGGATTCAAATGGAACTGTAAATAATCGGAATATATATATATATATAAATTATTTTATGATTTTAATTTTTTCAATAAATAGGTTCGTCAACAAGCAACTGATACTCTTGTTGAAATTTATCGTCATGTTGGAGAAAAAGTTCGTGGTGACATTGCTAAAAGAGACATACCTGAAGCCAAGTAAATGAGCTCATGTCTTCTTTTTTTTTTTACATAATTCTAATCCATTTTGTGTAGATTAAAACAGCTTTATGAAAAATTTGATGATGTTCTTGCAAGTGGTCGAATGATTACTAAAGCAGCTGATTTAACAGATGATGGTAAGATATATTATATAGCTACATACATACATACATACATATATATATATATATATACGGATGAGACCGAATAAGTGTTATGTGAATGGGCGTGGGTGAGTGTCACCAACCTCAAAATATTCTTTTGACCATTAATCAAAATGGAAGATCGTATTTATATTGCATTAACTCAGTCACCGAAGGTGTAAGGTAAAGATACGTATATAAGATATAAATGATGATAAGTTGATCGTCACATCGAGAGAAAAAAACCGCCTAAAAAAAGATACAAAATGAGGGATGCATAAATTTATGCGTATATACGACAAACTACCTTACAATCGTACTTGAACTGATCGAAGTTTGTTAGTTACTTTATTCGAATTACGAACAATGAATTCAACTTTACTTGAACATTTTCTTGGTCCATCATCAACTCGGTTTCAATTGCCGACATTATTCGAAGAAGAAGATGATGAAGTCTATCCATTAGTTAACATCACATTTTGTCAGATAAATCGAACGAGAAAGTCTTTGCTAGGTACGGATAAAATAATAATAATGTATATTTATACAAAGATAAGGTGTAGTATTTTTCTTACACATAACTATCAATCTATTGTATCTGTACATACTTAAATTCTTCATTTTTCACATTCCATATATTTGATACTTTATTTTATTTTTGTTACTCATCTCTCGTTTATCGATCATATCAAACATTAATTGCGTTGTCGAAATCATCCATTGATTGAGTTTTCTCTTTCTCTCTCTCTCTCTCTTTCTCTTTCGATTTGATATAAGCCTGTATGCCCGGTACACGTTTGAAATTTTTGTTTTTAATAAGCCGAAGCAACGGCAAGCACAAACGGATGATCGTTTATATGCACATGTGTAATTTTCATTGATATTCGAATTCTATATAAGGACGAGAGAAAAGAATAAAAGCGAGAATAGAAGAAAAAAAACCATCACATTTGCAGATGGTGCCTATTACAGATATGTTTTTAGCTAGTAAACCTCGTAAGACCATGTTAATTGATTTTTATTGTATACAATTACGACTATTATTTTAGCACGAGCACAATCAGCAGCGAAATCTCGGCGTGGTTCTGACAGTAGTACCGTATCATCTCGTTCAAGACCCAGCAGTAGCATTCCAACACGTACAACGACAACTTCGTTGAGTTCAGCAGGTAATTAAATTAATTTAAGATATTTTTGAATATATACGAAAAGCAAACAACAGTAACAAGTAAAGCTTCTAATACTTCGACATATCATCGTTCACGTTCGTCGTCGGGTATACCATGCCCACGTTCGTCTATATCAACAACAGGAGGTAGTATTTATCTTTTGCTGTGTTGTGTCAGTACTTCAGGTGTTGTTATTTGTTGCTTTATCTGCATTAGTCGGTTTGTAACACGTGTTTGTGTTATTGTTTGAACAAGTTAGATATACGTATCTTGATAGTTGATGACATAAGACATTGATCATGCATCGGGCATCCAATCATTTAGATTCTAGTTGAGAACCAACACATTGTTTAATCAATAAGATAGAATTAACTATTATTTACGTTTTTTTTTACAGCTGCTGCAAGCGGAGCGGTCGATGAAGCAATTTTCGAAGATGCATTCAATTCATCTGTTGATATTATGGTAAGGATAATTGTTTTAACCTTTTGGAATGTGAGAAGATAAAATATTTGCTCAAATGTCAACCTTACCATATGGCGAAACTGTTATTTCATCAAAACAATTAGTCTATGAATATAAATTTCTTTTTTTTTTGTCTAATTTTAGTTTTCATCAGGCAAAGATGTTGAAAATCAATTATTAAATATTCGCGATACACTTGCTGATACTAATAATGATTGGGAAAAACGAGTTGATGCAGTAAGAAATTGAAAGTGTATTCGTGTTTAAGATTTAATTTTTAATTTTTAATTTTTAATTTTTAATTTTTAATTTTCTAATTTAAGCTCAAACGATTACGTTCATTAGTATCCAGTGGCGGTGATCAATACGATGAATTTTTTCGTAATCTTCGTCAACTTGATTTACCTTTAGCGACAACTGTCAGAGATTTACGTTCACAAATAGTTCGTGAAGCTTGTATTACATTAGCTTATATGTCAGTTCGATTAACAAACCGTTTTGAACGTACAGCTGAAGGCGTTATACCTGTTATGATTAATCTCTTACAAAATAGTGCTAAGATTATTGCAACAAGCGGTAGTGTTGGTATGCGTTATATTGTTACAAATACACAATCAAGCAAACTTGCCCCACTTATATTAGCTGGCATTGAATCAAAATCTAAAGAAATTCGAAGGTGAAATAGAGAAGAATCAAAATTGTTTTGCTTGTTTTATTAAATTAAATGATTTTCTTTCTGTAGACAAACATATGAATTATTAGTAATCATGCTTTCAAATTGGGATTTCAGTTTTCTGGAAAAACATGGACAATTGATTCACAATGGTATAAAAAAAGGTTTATCTGATGCTGATGGTGAAGCAAGAATAAATGCAAGAAAAGCATTTGGATTTTTTCGTGAACATTTCCCTGCATTAGCTGATGCGCTTCTTGCATCAATCGATGCATCGAAAAAGAAAGCATTACTGGTTTGTTTAAAAACAGATTTATTATTAAAAATCCTTTTTTTCTTCACCTCTGTCAATAAAATAGGGCGAAATGAGTAATGCATCAAGTACACAATCATTAGCAAGCGTAGGTAGTTCAAGAATGCGCACTGCAAAAGAGTATGTACTTGCAATGTTATCTTTCTATTGCATGTTATAGTGTATTGCCTTTTAGCGCTCCGCCAAGACAAGTTCGAACTGGAATTAGTGGTAAGAAATAGATAGACTTTGTTGACTTATTGCACGAAGAATCTAATATCACTTCATTGTTGTAGACTCGCATAACGATAAGAAATAAATTTTATTCAGTTTGTAAGCAAAGTTTATTGTATAGGTTAGTTGAGATAAAAATCGTTGAACATATGAATACAAATGAAGCTCTGCATTAAATATATTTCATCGGTGATCTATTCAACGAAGGTTTCTAGAAGATTGAATTAAAATGAGACTGTTTCTTCAATCGAAAATGGAGTAATTTATCAGTTTCTATAAGATTTGAAGATAAGAGACAAATGTTCTTAAATATCAAGTTTTGAGTTGCATAAAAGTGATGCTTATTGTAATGTAAGAACAATATTTGAATTTCTCTTTAGACAAACAAAATACATCAGCTAGTATATCTCGATCGTCAAGTGCCAATGAGCTTGCCATGAGACAGAAACATGCAGCATCAAAAACATTAAGTAGTAAGTGTTTGTGCTCTTGATAATAAAACTGAGAGGTTGACTTATTGAACTATATAACTTTTGTTTGAACTTGAAGAATAAAGACGTCTAATCTTCATTTGTTTTCTTTTAGGTTTAAATACATCTTCCAGTCAACCGAAAACTAGTAAGTATTCGCAATAGAGATTGCATTTTCAAATAACTAACATTAATACAGTTGAAACCGGTGAATGCATCAAGAACTTATGCTGACAATTGATTATTTTCTTGTTTCACGATGTGAATAGTTGTCTATCACGAGAAGTTAGTAGAAATAACACACCCATGATCACCATGTAGTCTTCATGCACTGATCGGTTTTACTGTTAAATTTCATCAAATCCAGTATTTTTCTTTTTGTACCTGGATATGAAACGCACGTCTCATTATAACAAAAACTTTTCTGCTAAGCTTGATAACAACTTCGCATTCTAATACTAAGCAGCTCTTTATATGGATCAGACAATTTTTGGCAATGATCTCACGATGATCAAGTCATCGATTGGCTGTTAGCCTTAGAGTAGGAACTGTTGGGTCAAGCCCAGAATCAAACCCAACAGAGTCTACTTACTTGCACACCGCTAATTCGAAATAAAAAATATTTATACATATTTTTTATTGATGAATTAGATCGGCATGAGCTTCTTCTTCAATCTTCAAAAACTACTAAAACCTCGTCAGTAACACCAACCTCATCAAAAATTGCCTCTCAATCTCAACCTGGCAGTCGTTCAACATCACCTCATTCATTCCGATCATCCCACCACTTAGCATCGTCATTACGCACACCAACAAATGCTCGTTCCCGAATACCGACCGGTTCAAATGGTGGCTCACGGATATCAAGTCGTGAGTCAAGTCCAAGCCGACCACGTATGTATATTATTTATTTTCTTGCTTTTTTTAATCGTACGCGATAAAATTAAAATAACCATAAAACGTATTGAGACATTTTTTCAGCAGTGAATACTAGTGGTGGTGGAAATAGACGCCGACTAGGTCGTAAGTTTGTAGGATAAATATCTATTGTGTGTATGTTAACATCTTAGACTCTATCTCTTCGTACTTATCTAATTAATTGGGCTAATTTTAATATAAATGCTTTTTGTAAAATTTATTTTGCTTGATAAATTTCTATTCTAGGATCATATGGATATCGAGGACCAGGCAGTGATTATGGCGGTCGTATGGGAAGTTCGCTGCATGGTGATAGTGGTGACGATGCGTCAGAAACATCTAGTATATGTTCAGAAAGAGCATATGAGGTAAGTTTTAGACACTGAAGCTTCATCTCTTTAGTGGCCTTCTCTGAAAGTCATACGATACATTGTGTACGTTGAAGATGAAACAGAATTTTAATCTATCTGAGATTGATTAAGAGAAAGATTGAATTCAATCTACATAATCGCATTTAAAAAAAACCAACTCGTAATATATTCATAAAAAAATCGATGACATTTTTTCAAGTGTATCATCATGGTGACGAAAAGTACCTTTGGTACTGTTGAACAGAAATTGGAAAGGAGACATTGCATTAACTGTGCAGTATGAATCAATAGTTTGGTAGACCGTTGAACTAGAAAATAAATGTACATATAGAGAATGATTTATTAAAACCGAAATAAATCGTTGAATATAAAAATGTATCTAAGATTGACTTGATCTCACTGTTAGATCATTGCATTGTACTCAAAAAATATTTTTGTTTCTTTTAGGATATTCCTGATGTTTTACGTCGAATCTCTAGCAATGAATGGGCTGAGCGAAAAGAAGGTCTCGCTAGTTTATATCATATGGTTCGATCAGGCCGTGTACTCAAGTAAGTTTTTTTTATGGAGTTCAATTATTGAAAAAAAATATATACGTTCTTTTCTTCTTATTATAGTCCTCCCGAATTAAAACTTCTAACAGAATTATTAACAAAACGTTTTTATGATCCAAATTCACAAGTATTCGCAGCATTTCTTGATGTCTTACCAGATTTTATTATAGCATATAAACGTGAATTGAATGATTGGCTTTATGTTTTATTAACACGTTTATTAATTCGTTTGGGTTCATCTGATATACTTGATTCTGTTTTTAAAAAATTGAAACAATGCTTATCTATTGTCAATTCATCATTCGATGTTCATGCGCAGTTTGTTGCTCTTATTCGTTTTATCAACGATAATTCATCGGCACCATCAATTAAGGTTAAAGAAATTATGTTACGTTATTTTCAACAAATAATACAACATATGGAACCTGTTGATATAACGAATAATACAGATATTCGAATCACTTTATCGAAAATTATCAATTGGTCTGGTGAACCGAAGAGTGCTGAAATGAGAAAAGTATGAAAATTAAAACCGTAAAGATTCATAATAAAGTTAATTCAATAATTTTAGGCTGCACAAGCTGTTATTCTTGCTCTACATAATCTTAATCGGCCAGAATTCAATTTAATGCTTATGGCTTTACCACAAAATTGCCAAGTATGTTGTCTATTTCTTAGAATTTACTATTCGTTACAGCACAAAAAAAACGTGATATCTACAAAATAGCAATAAACAATTTTGAACCGCGCATTTCATTTGTTTTGACAAAAATTGCGAATAAGCCGTAGACTTATTTTACTAAACAGCACTACATATAACAGAGAAGTCATCGTAAACATGATACTAATATTTAATGAGAATATGCTTTGTTTGATAACAATAGTTTTTATTTTAAGCCACTATTTCATTTTTGTACTACTGAATCGCCACTTTCTATGACGGCTTGTCCGCGCAACGCGCTACTTTGCTAACCAAGTTAAAATAATTTGTTTTGCAATATAGACAGATCTAAGCGTATTTTCTGGTACAGTTTTTTACGTTGATTGTGAATTTCGACTTTTCTTCTTAAAAAAATTGAATTTTGGCATCGAAAGCCGACTTTAAAGTTTTCAAAAATCGTATTTTCAATTTTCTAACCAAGAAATTTAAAGCACAGACGAAGAATAATATACCATCCGATACAGAATTTGATTCTCTACAAAATGGTCTATTGAGTTTTTACTCTTATTCTTCAGGACAAATTCTAAGCTCTTGTACAGTTTCTAACTTACTATACAATTATTGAGCTCGTATTTCGATGTTGCAACTTGATTTTTTTACAGAAGGATACATGCAGAGCAGTGATCAATATACGTATATAAACATTAAATATTTTTAAGCATGCTAAGTGCTTCAAATTTGGTCGACAAAACAATGTGTCACAACGTTACGTTTGTCTTTTGCAGTTTTTATCTGAGCGAAAATAGTTTACAAAATATATTTTTACTGCTTGAAATCCCATTCAATTCTCTACAAAACTGACATCATAAGCACTTCATTTGAAAAAATAATTTGTTAAAAAATTAGAGTTTTATCAGTAGCCCTAGAAAAAGGGTCCCTTTTTGTCACAGTCTTAAGCAATGATAAAATCTTTCTAGAAGTGCACGAGTTCAGTCAAACTAGGCCATTCTTTCAATATAAATAGAGTATGATAAGCTGCGTCCAATGACGTTTGAACAACCTTGTTAGCTCTTATGACTTTCGAGATAATTACAAAACAATTTGCCAAAATGTCACAGCGTTACGGTTGGACAAGCCGATTACTGTTTTCTTCATTATTCTAGGATGTGGTTGCCAAAGTTATTCGATCAGCTAATGACATGCAATCATCTACGTATTCTCAACTTGATAATAAGTACATAATATATTTTTCGGTATTTGACATCTTATATCTCTTTATTTTTCAAGATATGATTTTTTTCAAAGATCAAGTTTATCTGGATTGACATCTCCAATGACAACTTCAATACATTCAGAAGTTCAAAGTCCATCTTATGCATCTGACATGCGCATTTTAATGGAAAACATGCAAGCTTTAAATGTAAACAATCACCAAGAAGATCTACTCATCAATTCAGCATCGCTAAAAGATAAAGAACATCGTTCAATGATTCCCGTTCGACCTTATATGTCAAAATCTTATCGTTCAAATTCATCACAAAATCAAATGACTGAATCATCGGATGTACGTTGCCTAGTGCTGTTTGCAAAACATTCTAAACAATCTGTTCTTTGCACATCTATTTCATTTAGGGTATCTACGAAACACCTGATCGTCCAGCAGCAATAAATATAGCGCTCAATCTAGCAAATACACTAACCTTGCCAAAAGAACAACGGCAACATGGATTACGTTGTGTATTAAAATTTGCAAAATTAAACGATCCAGAAACATGGGACTTAGCATTTAGTAAAACATTGAATACTTTAACACAAATTCTGGATAATACACAAGATGAGGTTATTTTTAAAGTTTACAGTCTTCGTATTATACGTGAATTATTAATTCATCATACAAATTTATTTATGAATTATATTGAATTAACTATATTTCGAATTTTAAAAGCGCAGAGCGAAAATGAAAGTGACGTAAGTGATTAGCGTTTTTATTGTTTCTTGTAGCAACAATGGGGAAAATGTTTTATTTAGATAATACGTGCAGCTGAACAAGCAGCTCAAGCGGCAGCCGAATATTTACCTGCTGAATCCAATGTTCGTGTACTTAAACCAATCATTGAGCAAGCAAAATATCCCATGAATCAATCAGCAATAGCAATGTTGCAAAAAGCAATTGAATTTATGAATAAAGAAGCATGTTTAGATTTAATGTCTGAAATGATTCCACCACTTTTATCGGTAAACTTAAATTTATTGAGTTTTTTTCTTTTTGATTAAACAAAAAATAATTTCCACATAAAAAGGCGTGGGATGCTCATTCCCACAATCTCACCAGTGGAGCTAGCGTAAGTGTATCAGGAAAAAAAGAACGATTGATTTCTTTCATAAAGAAAATAAATATCATTGCTTTTGCCTGACATGCATGAATGCGCAATATGCCATATAAAATATGCTTGGAAATTTAATTAAACTTATTATACAACATAAATTTTGTTAATTTCAGTCGTGGGATCATGAAACATCAAGCGTACGAAAAGCGGCAGTTTTTTGTTTGGTCGCAATTTATATGGTTGTTGGTGATGCTCTTCGTATTCATTTACATAAATTAAGCCCAAGCAAGGTGAGTCCATTGTGTACAACTCTCACACAAGGATATTCTATATTTGCGCAGATTTTAGTGTGTTCCGATGTCTTTTGTTATAGACAACGATTATAATTAGAATAGGAAGTCTTATACTTTAAGCCTGCTGTTGATATGAAGAGCTATGCGAGTCAGTAAATCTTTCTATAGGATGTTAGCAGTTAAAAAGTTCAAAACCGTCAAAAAGATATTGGCAACATGAAAAATGAATAGATTAAGTTAATGACAAAGAACTGGTGTATCCAAGCGAACTAATTTGGAATTCTAAGCATGACGCTTCATGACATCTAATCGAATTCGATTTGTTGTTCAGAATAGTTGGAAGGAAATTATCTAGTAGAATTATTCATATTTGGTTGTGTCAAATAAAGTAAAATCATTAAATTAATCACTAGATTCTTAATTGAATAACTTAAAACAATAATATTTATAGACGAAGAATTAAAACACGAGAAAAAAAATGGCAAAATAACGCAATAGGCAATCTTGAAAAACATTAATTCTATAACAACAAGAATAAAAGAAACTCTGATCAGATTAGATTAGAATAAGTTCAGCTAATCCCTTTCTATCACTATATATTTAGATGCAATTGTGCAATTATAAATTGGATTAGCGCTTAATATTTTAGGTTTGTTCGAGAATCTAAATCGTTTATTAATCGAACCTAGAGGTATCAACAGCTCAGTAAAAAAAGTACTATTTCAGTATGATTTAATATTAAGTTTAATCATGTGTTGTCGTGTTTTTTGTTTGACGTAGTTCAGACGAGGGGTGGCAGAATTTTCACAAGCAAAACAACAAGAATTATGCACTGTTAATACCTATATGACTTTAAGACGCGATGAATAGTATCAATATAGAATTCTGTGTTCCTGTATACACACACTACCTTGTATAGAAATCAGAGCGTTAGAAGCAAGTATGTGTTACTGTTAGACACATTAGCAGTCGCTGTTGACTATGATAAGATATATTACGGACTATCTATCGGAGACTAAATACACTAAACATTGATTTCAGACTTAGTTTTTTTTTGCAGTGTACAGAAATAAAAATAGAAATCAATAATCTACGATAAATATTAATTGTGATTAAATATCAATGCTTTAAAACAATTCATTAAAAAAATTGTTTTCAAATTTCAGTTCACCAAATAAGAGGCAAAAAGACATCAATCGAACTAATACTTATTTTAAATAGTAAAACAATGTTTAAATATCAAATTTGTTCATATTGGTTGCATTCAAAGATAGAAAAATATAAATATCAAATATTTCTGATAAATAGTGTTTTATATTCATAATGGAAAAGCAATCGTCCAACTCTGAGTCATCTGTATTTTTAATTAAAAAAACAATTTTGTCAATCATTTATAGTTTATTAGAATAGGAATAAATCTACGTTTTCATGAATACAGATATTTTTTTGAATAACCAATATATCGCCATAGTTTTTCTTGCTGTTACTGATCTATTTGCCTCTTTCTATCTTCCTACTGTCCATTTATTAGCCTTTCATTTTTTACTCTTTCTTCTCTCTTTCTCTCTTCATCTTCATTGGGTATATTAACGTGTGCTTCATGTGTTAATGATGCGCTTTATGATATAAAAAAAGCTAAATAAATCGTAGTTCCATCAATACAAGCATCTCTTCTATCTAAAATCATCACATTGTTTACATACGTAGCACACGCTTATATACCCAAAGAAGAGGGATAAGAAAGAGTAGAAAACGAAAGGCTAATAAATGGACAATAGAAAGAAAGATTGACGTATACCAGATATATTGATATCATCACAATACTTAATTATCTTAATAAAACATAGACAAAAACAACTAGTAAATATGGCGCATATATTATTCAGAATTAATATTTACAGTTAAAATTTTAGTGAGAGTACTTAGATATGACCGATTATAATTTTTTAATTCTATTCGGTACAAGAGTTTTGTTAAGTCGACTAAACTAATAAAAATATTACAATTTATTTTTATTCTTCTATCTAATTTCAGTAATAAACCAATAGTTTAACTGAAAATTTTTGTATCAATATATCGAATCATATTGTTTCAAAGTTTGAATTTGATTAAAGTAGTTAATCTAAAAAATTGTGATATGAAATTTCGTTTGAGAGAGGATCAATTATCGTATGTAGTGCATAATTGTTACATTCAATCATTTCAAGGTAGTCATTATTTCATCAACGAAAGTGTATTTTATAAATATTTATGATAATCTATGATAATAAATTAGCCAAGCATAAACAACGGCTTCGATCTTCTTTTGTATATCTATAATGTCCACTTGTTCCGTTTAGTCGAAAACTTTTGTCAAATATATTTTTTATAAAAATATATCAAGTACCCAGCTCGTATCACAAAATAATTAAGATCTCTCAACATTTTATACAACATTTTTTTATCAATAGTATCAATAGCTATATCGTCTTCATATCTTCTCTCTACTACTACAATTCACTATTAACATATTTAATAACTTCCAAATGTTAAAGCGTTAATTTTTTTCTATCTTATTCCGAAAAACATTATGAAACTTATTTTATTAAAGAAATGAAAATTCTCTATTGAGCTAATATCTATCTAAGTGATCCATGATATGTGAATTACACATTTTAGTCCCAATGGGAATGCGCTGAAAATCTTTTTTTCTGTATTGATTTCCTTGTAGAACTCATTTGATCGACAAATCAACATTTCTGAATTCAGATATGGAAGTTTTAATGAAAAAATAGTTAAGAAGACATTCATATGAAAACGGTTGATTGAAATAAAGCGATAGGGTTGACACTAATAATAAGGCACTCCAGCAGATTCTAATTATATTTTAAAAATTCTTCGGAAACTGAATATTCAGCATCTGGGGGAGGGGGGGGGGCCACAGTCTCTCTACAGAGGGCTTAGCCCGCNGCCCCCCCCCCCCCCCCCCCCCCCCCCCCCCCCCCCCCCCCCCCCAGGCTCTCTACAGAGGGCTTAGCCCTCACTAGAAAAATTAAAATCCTGTGAAAAAATAAGTTTAGCCCCCTTACGATTTTTTTCTGGTGGCGCCCTTACAATATTCCTTAGATAAAATACAGGAAAACTTTATAACAAACTCAGAATTCTGCTTTTAAACAAAATTCTAAGCAAAACTTCCGTTTCCATAGAGAGAAATATATGTGTTCTTCTATTGATACAAAATTCTGTTGGCAAATGATCAATTCTGCTTAGAATTTTGCTTTCGATTTAAGGTAATGTGTGTATACAGTAACATAGAAAAGAAAGAAACTAACATAGTTTATAAATCAACAGAATTCTCGAATTTCGCTTGGGGTGAATTCTGCCACTGCTGGTTCAGACCGCGAATATGTTTAGTTATTTTTGAATCGAACAATCTGATTATAGAAAATAGTTCTTTTATTTTGTTACCCTCATAAATATATTTTAATTTTAGGTCAAGTTATTGAATGTCTATATTTCCAAAGCTCAGCAACAAACAGCTTCAGCTATAAACAAACCAGAAGAAGTAGCTGCAACAAATGGAACTAATCATACGACTTCGTAACAGTGTCACTATCATTTTTTTTTGTTTTTTTTTAGTGCGCGTGTGTGTGTGTGCATGCGTGTAAATAGAGTGTTAGCATTTTTACTTTTATTCTCTACTAAATGTATGTGCGCTTTAAAATAAAATGGAATTGTCTTGATTGAAAATTATCCATGTATCTAAAATCTTTCAAGGTTATTTTGAAATTGAAACGATTACCACGGAGCTTTTCTTCATCAATAATTTACACTAATCTTATAGTAATCTCTTCTGTTGAGGCTTCTAATACTACACATGCAGCCACGATATTCGTATTTTTATAAAAGCAAAAGATTTGTAAAAGAAACAAAAAGTTTTTGATCCTATCGGAAAGATTATAAGTTATGTTATCAAGCGTGAAGTATACCGCGTAAGATTATAGGACACTAGTTTAGTACTCATGATCTTTCAGCTACATATGTTTTTTAACTTAAAATAATTTCATCGAGAATTACTGAAAATTCTATTACTAATTAAGAATGAAGATCAGTGTCGATTCTCGTTGTTAAATATTTAAAAAAAACGAAATTCCCATTTTTAATATCATGTAGACAAGATTGGCAATGTTTGATGGAGATATGACAGATATTTATATGCTGGTTCGCGCACTCATTGCGGCTGACGCTGCGAATCTATGCTGTAAGATTGTTTACTAATGATATTCAGCTCTAATACTTAACCTAATTCTTTATTGCATTTTTATACGAGTTCTTTAATAGTGCATGCATAAAAAACCTTCATAGAATTTGCTAATGCCGACTAAGCATAATATTCGTAACATTATTCATGCAAAAAATGTCATTGCAAAAGGGCCTATATGTCGATAATACACAGCTGTTAGTAGAAGAAGCTGATGTGAGTCGTGATATATTTATATATTGTTGTTATACGATGAATCATATAAAAATATGGCAACACTATCGAAGAAATATGTTGTTGATCTCGATGTAAATTAATGTAAAAAAAAGATTTATTAAATTAGAACCAATGCATTAATGCGTAAAAATATAATTGAAATAATTCGATGAAATGATTTGCAATTCATAGCTATATTAGTTTGCATTAAACTTTGTGGGTTGCTATTAAACATAATTCAACAAGCTATAGTTAACTTCGATTAATATGATTTCATCGGATAATTTACCAAGCACACTTCTTTAAGATTATTTTCAAAAGATATCGAGCGTAAAAATGACTCTTTCGCATGGCAATATCGTAAAGTAAAAGAAACTATTTGCTTATTTGAAATCAAAAATTTATTTTACAAATTATAAATTGTAATGAATATTAATTGAAGGATGTAAATTATGTACGTATGAACTATTCCATGCGAAGACATATTTAAGAATCAACACGAAAGCACAGAATGTCAATTATGAAGTGATGGGATATGCATCAGAAAAATCCAGACAAGAAGGTCTTCAGTAAGATATCATTACGAGTGCTTAAGGTTTATTTTGAGAAAATTCTTTCGATCATTTTTTTTATTATTTTCATAGATCAAATAATGAATAGCTATTTCAATAGACATATTAAAACGAAACAATAGAAATCTCTATCTCGTGCTATAACCAAGGATTGGTCATGCTGGGTAATAATACTCAACTCCTGATCATCTTCACCGTACCACAAGAAGAAGAAAAAATGCGTAATCATTACCACCATTGGTATTGTATATGACATGAATGAACTCCGCAATTTTTAGACATGAACTTACACCCTACGTTCTGTTAATTATGCTATTATTTTTTACTTAGTTAACATCAATTGAATGATTTATTTAGTAATAAAATGTGTGAACATTCTATGTATACTGATTGAACCTAAATTGATCAGAATATTTATTCATTCTTGAAAAAAAAATGCATAGAATATTCTACTGAACTTCATAATCCATAATATACGCACTGTCATGCATAAGGTATATTAACCGGTAATATTTTTTAACAAGATTCCATCTATTTACGTGTATTTCTTCCATTAGCGACACTAGAATAGACAAGACTTAACATTCCTATTATCTATATTATCTATGTCTTCCACAGATATTTATGTGTAATGAAGTACAATATAGTTATTGCAACAGAAATATTCCTAGAAAAAAATCTATGTAATAATTGGTAAATTAGTCATGTTTACTCTGTAGAAAATATCAACGATTTCTAAATAATATTGCGTTCTTATTCAATAAATATATGATTAATAAACTGTTTACGGAAAAAAAAAACGTCGTAAATGATTTGTCCGATAAACAGATAGACTAATTATTGATTCTGTTCAGCAGATAAATAGCAACTGTTAATATTATCGTATTGCATATGTCTCAATCATGGGCGAAAATAATTGTTTTTTATTGTTTGTGTTAATGAGTAATATATTATTCCGTGTTTAGAATTTCAATGAAATCGAAAATCGTTTTTCATTAATTATCGGAAGGATATATAATATATGAGAATAACTCATGATCTCATGTCATTTTATTATAGATATTTTTTTCTCCGTTGATTAGTTTATTTTTGTCAGCTACGAAGTTCGGTAAGAATATTTTTTCTCTCGATATTGTAGATTGCAAGTAAATGCTTGCTCTTTTTCATGCAAATTAAAATTATAATTTATAGGCTAGTAAAAGCCCATTTCTATGACGCACAAAACTATTTATTCTTCAATAGGGGTTTAGTTTATTGTTGTTGAAATACATATTTCTGTATCTACTTGAATAACGATTCGTTTACAAAGAAGATTTCAATAAGTTCATTGGGATTAAATTTTAGAAAAGAAAAAGAAATCTGCAAGACGTTAAATCATGACAATAGCATGATCTTAGCTAAACGAGAAAAAGAAAGCCGTTCCCAAACGCGGGCGTTGAGGAGAGAAAAACATGAGACGAGAAAAGAGAGAAAATTCTCTTCTTATTTTCTTTTTTCCTCTTGTCTCATCCGTGTCATTTCATTCACCTTCGATTCCTATTGACAGTGCCCTTTTTTTTAATTTTGTCAAATCTATTTTCTTGTCAACAATCTATTTGTTCAACTCTTATTGCTTAATTATATTAATGATCACTTTAGATCTATTGCCAACATGAAGATATCTATCTTTTTATTCGTCCTACTCATTGTCTTGATACAAACGTATCTACCAGAAGCTAAACTAACGGAAAGTTTCTCGAACAGTGACGACGTTAAACAGTAAGTACACACAAAATAACCAGCAATTATACAAGAAATTCATTTCCGTTTCAAGCTTTCTCAAAAATGATTTCCGATTACTGAAATAAGATACAATTCTTTTCATTAGTTTTAACTATTCCATTTGATATTCTCATTTGAAGTATCAAATAGACCTAGTAGAATTTTGTTTCATCTTCTCTCTTCATACCTTTCTAATTAGAGCTTTTTTTAGTTTTATCAATTAGTTAATAAAGTAGAATAACCAATGATGTCATCGAGGGAGACAATAAATTCGCCTGTATTTTTTGTTTTTGTTTGAATAATCAATCGTTTGTTAAAGAGATATCATAAAATAGTTCTGTAGTTATAAAACGATCTCACACATCATTATCGATAGAATTGATACTATTTTAAAATATACATAAATTATTAGAATTTTATTTATAATCTATTCAAGTGTAACTTTTTAATATGATTTAATTAATTAACTAAATGATGTTATCTGTACATTTGTTGTTTTTGACTTAGTTCATAATTTATTTTTTGTCAATATGAAACTCTACTGAAAATTTACAGAACTGAAAACATTAACAACTAAGGTCAAATTGTACTGTAGAAATTTCAAAACATAACTTTTTTTTTCATTGTTTTACGAACAAAAGACAATTGCTATTCATAAACAAATTTGATATAATACAAAAAGGTTTTTTACTCCGAAATTCATTTGTTTATCTTTTAAATGCATTCTAGCGTTTTAAACAAACGTATAAATGGACTATGGGGAAAACGTTTGAATAATTTATGGGGAAAACGATCTGAAAGTGAAAGTGATGAAGTATATCAACATCTTCTTCGAGAATTTTATGATCATCAACATCGCAATCCAAATAGATATCCTCAATATGCAGCTGACAGTATTTGTAAGTGAACTCCTCTTTATTGATAATTGAAATCTATATTTTTTTTCTTTTCATTTGTTTTAGTATATCCGCATCCCCTTAAAAAATTATATGCGCAGCGTACAAGATTCAATGATGACAATGAAGATACAGCGGAGAATATGTCATAAAACAATAAAAGCAGAACAGAAGTTATCTTTTTCTTTTCACCTTTTTTTCTTATATAATTTGTGTCATAATCTATATCAACAAATAAACTCGATCAATCTGCTGCACATTTTTTATTTTCGATTTAAAATCAATGTTTTCAAATAATAATACGTATAGCTAAAGAAAAAAAAGGCCAATAATTGATAGAATTTTTAAAACCTCTATCAATAGCTCGAAATTAGAATTCATAAGATGCCCGCAATTCAAAATTACAAAGGCAATTTTTTCGTAGCCAACACGTTATGTTCTATCGAACCATGTAAAAATATTGCTGGAAAAAAATTTGCTGTAACTTTGAATTGCAGGCACCTAACATATACTTTTTTCTATCTCATGACCTTTAAGAATGCTTTATTTCATTTCCATTTGGTGAGTACATTAAACCAGCTATATCCGATTTTGACATTTGGATTTCTTACGAATGATTAGTAAAATAATAAACAGTTTGGATATTTATATTCAATTTCAAAAGTTCATGGTTTACTGCATGTGAAACATCAATTTTTCGTGCAGCATGTCATAAAATAATATAACAAATGTGTCAGAATGAGTAAACCTTCATGCGTGGACTGTTTTTCTATATATCAACCTTTTTCGATTGAAAAATATAAATTTTTATTCACCAAAGTATGCTTCATGATATTTTTCCCACATATAACGTAAAGAAGTATTGAATTAAATATAGTACATTCTAGTCTAGCCTTTTTATAAAGTTACCTCAGATACTGATGGATTATTCAAGTGATCCTATATTTAATAACTCTTATGTGTTCTCATTTGGTACCGGAAATAAAATTGATTCCGCTACTGAAACAGCAAGAATCAGTTCTAACAGTAAACCAGCAAAGGAAGTTACTGCCACGCTTGCTAACGACGTTCATTGGGTTCCTTCATGCCTGCTGAGTTTAAATATTTCATGTACAACGCGTGCCCATTCAGAAGTGAAAAATATGAGTACATCCAAAGGAAAACTGACTGAGAATAATGAAGAGATTTCAAAAGAAACTTCAACGGGTGGTAATATCTATATGAGCACACTTAACTCATTTATATTTTTCCTTATTAATTTACCTTTGCAATTTAATAGAATCTTACTGATTTTGCCATTGGGTATTAAAAGCACAATGATCTTTGTTGACATCAATTACAAAACTGTTATCTTTCCCTGTATCTCCTACATCGATTTCTGACTATTCATTTGACTGCGCTAATTCTCTGTTACTTATAGAAAAAACATTATAATCGCTCAGTGTTATATAAATCATAGCACTAGATTTCCCATCATAAATGATATAAACGAGAAGCTTAATAGTGACACTAGGTTGAAATATATAAGCACGAGCACATATGTCATGATTTTATTCAATTAATGTCATGCCATATTTGTGTTTCATGTGGACAAGGATTATTGATCTTCATCTGATCGATAGCTAAAGCATTTAGACTGCTCAGTTTCAATGAAAATGTATGAATTATAAAAATGAGCTGTCAGATTCAAAAATAGCATCTTGTTAATAAGCAATAAATGAGATAACAAATTTATGTTTGAACAAGGGTAGGCGGGAGGTATTTTGTTTGTTTTCAGCTATCTTTTATTGAAAAATTAATTTAAAAAATGACTAGAAGTAGTTGACATATTGGAAAAAAATACTAAGGTACGGATGCATTTCATTACACATGTTGTTTTCGTATAAATTATGATCGTCATATAAACTTGCTGAATTATATCTGGATATCAAGTTGTTGCCGACTATCAAATTTATGGGAAAAAAATGAATTATATGATAATTGAGATACACAATTACTGATCGTAAACGAGTAGATTGAAAATTATTTTCTCTTTAATGAAAAAAATAGATCTTCAATATTAAATTGAGCTGAAGCACTAATAGTGCAATTCTCTGTATTTCTTTCTTGGTGATTCATCACTAATTAAACTTTTCTGCTTTTTTTTATCTATGCAATTAACTTTATTATTGTATAAAACGATTGCAGTATTTTAATACGTTGCATGTGGCGTAGGAGGTAATAATAGAAAAAACAATAATGAGTTAGGATTAGTGGTGTCGTAACTTATTCTACTATTCGAATTATTGAAGATGATCGGAATAGCCGGAGTTTTCTCATATACGTTCACCGACTACGAGAACAACACTTGCTCACTTTGAAAAAGCTATGAAGTCAGCTGTTGCTTTGTAAGATTTTTTTGTTCATAGCAATCAGTTGATATGGGTGAATCCATGGAGACCCGTCCATTTTTTGGAAAAGTTTTTTTTTCGATTTTTTTTTGCAGCCGAAACTTCCGGTGAGCTGTAGAAAACACTTTGATGAAAACAAAATATGACCTTACTAGCAGAAAATATCGAATTCTGGTTGATTTTTTTGGAACGACTATGGTATATTGTCAGACAAAGGGGAAACGTCAGTAAAACACCTGAAACTTTCCTAAAATATCTTTTTTAGAAAGTTTTCATGCTGAAATATATGAAAGCTGTTTAGAAACACTTTAGATGGAAAAAATTAGAACATGCCTATTGGAAGTCTTGAGTTATGAGTCATTTCTTCTGAAAATAACAATAACTGTCGTTTGCCATGCTGAGTGACACTAATTTATTTGAAGGACTTTTGTTCCTTTCTCAAAGAAACGACCTTGTTCATGCTTTTCTCCTAGGACGGTCTCGAACTAATGACTTCGCCCATGTAACTCGAGAGAAACGGCATCAGATCGTCTCACATAAGTGAGACCGCAGAATCAAAAGGGACAACATACTACCGAATGATAAATTTTCGATCTCGTTGTACGGACATCTTTAAATGTAAAGTCTTATGTACGAATATTGTGACTTCGGAGAAATAATATTACGAGATGAATCATCGGATATTGCCCATGTGTTTCATTACGATGAAACTGCGATCGCACTGTGACCCGTAATTGCGGAAAATTGCGAAGTAGTTACGCGCAACTACGATGAAAAAATCGCAGTTACGCGTAGTTACGGGGGAAAAATCACAGTTACGCATAACTGCGCCCAAGTTTTTCGCAATTATAGTTCACAGTGGCGTCGCAATTGGTACAAAAGATAACATAGATTAGGGTTTCCTTTTATTTGTATTTTTCTTGAGTTTAAAAAATTTTTTGCACAAAAAAGGAAAAACAGCTATAAAATTAAAACTTTTATAAAAAATAAAAAACAATTTTTAAATTAAAATTTTTCACAATAAAAATAATTGAAATCTAAAAAAATCTAAAAATTTACTAAGATAAAAATTCAAAAAAAAAATTTAGTTTAAAACTTAAGGAAAATTAAAAATTAATATCTAGAAAAATTAAAAAATTCCCAGGACGAACATTACAGTGGCCGTAAACAGCCGTGCACGATACCGTAAACGGTGAAACCCAACCACCGTAAACGATGAAACCCAACCACTGTAAACGTTAAAAGCAGTGCCGTGACACGGTCGTATTTTGAATCAAACGACAGTTTACGACAACGAGAATCGCCGTATCTTAACATACACAGCCGTTTACGACCCCCAAGACTACCGTGCATCAAAATAAACGGCCGTTTTCCATTCGTTATTCTCGATGATTTCACCTGCTAATCAAACAGATTTCATTCGGATTTCAAAACGATTTTATTTGGATTTGACATGGATTTCATTCAGATTCCAAACAGATTTTATTCAGTTTTCAAAAAGATTTTATTCAGATTTCAAAAAGATTTCGTTTAGATTTGAAAAGGATTTCGTTTAGATTTCAAAAAGATTTCATTTGGATTTCAAAAAGATTTTATTTGGATTTGAAATGGATTTCATTTAGATTTCAAAAAGATTTTATTCAGATTTGAAATGGATTTCATTTAGATTTCAATAAGATTTCGAAAAGATCTCAAAAAGATTTCATTTGGATTTGAAATGGATTTTATTCAGATTTCAAAAAGATTTTATTTGGATTTGAAATGGATTTCATTTAGTTTTCAATAGGATTTCAAAAAGATCTCAAAACGATTCCACTTGGATTTGAGAAAGATTGCATTTCTGGGTCAAAAAGACAGTATCTTTCGACTTGAAAATCAAGTGGTTTCTGAGAGAGTGGGAATTCCCTGAAACATAAATAGGGATTTAAGGAAAAACCGGAAAACAAACTGAATCGTGGACATGTTACTTGACTTGAATTGGGAAAGTGGTCAACCAAGATTTGACGGCAAGAACTCGAAGATAAATCTGATTTCGGCTTTTAAATCTATCCCTCAACTAAAGAATTAAAAGCGAAGGAAAATCAGCCTATATGTAGAAGTTCTCGTGCGAAACAGAAAGGTGAATGGTTGCGCGACACGAAATCGATGATAAATCTGATTTCAGATTTCGGATTTTAAATCTAACCCTGAATTGAATAACTAAAAACGAAAATAAATCTTGAGGGCGTGGTTGTGGGTGTGGGAGTCCGAATGTGGATTAACGGAAAATAGTGGTTTTACCCAGATCCACCCACATCCACACCCTCAAGATTTTCAATGGCGCCAAAAAGTTATCAAAATCAGTCGAAATCATGAGAATTCAGTAGAAATAATTAGAAATCATCAAACATCATCTGGATTTTGTGGTAATCGATAGAAAGTTTAAAAAATCAAAGAAATCATGTGAAATCGGGCTAATTTACTTGAAACCTTTCAGATCGTTTGAAATGATTTCGAATGATTTTTAGCTATTTGAAATAATTCCTTTTGTTTTGTGATGATTTCCAATGATTTCCAATGATTTCCAATGATATCCATGATTTCTACTGATTTCTACTGATTTCGATGATTTCGTCCGATTTCATGCGATTTCGATTGATTTCGCCTATTGAAATCAGTTTGTTTCCCCTTGTTATCGCATATTCTGAATGTCGTTTACAGTCGCCGTATTTTCGCGGTAGTCGTAAAAGGCGAAAGTTTACGGTCAGTGTTTACGATTAACGTAATACGCCGTAAAACGTCGTATATGACAGCCGTAAACGGCCACTGTAAACGAATGCCGTTTTTGAACGTAAATGATTGGTGTACGGCCGTTTACGGCCGGGCAGGAACGACCTGGGAAGATCTAAATGGTCTATATATATCGTTTCTTGCATCTAAACGCTTAGAAAAAACTTACAGATTTTATTGTACACAAAAAGAGAAGAATCAAAGGATTTATTTGTCATATTGTTATATGACTGGGCATGTGTTACAATAGTTCTGAAAAAATGATTTAACCTTTTTATAATATGGACGATACTGTTGAAGCTAAGAATACTATTTTGTTTCTACCGATGTCTTTGCCTGTGTATTGATTAATTCTTCATGTTAAATTACAAAGTTCTAACAAGTACATCAGTATGACTTGGTTTGCAACGATCGGTTCAAATATATGAACTGGCAACTATGTACACGTTTTGTTTTAAATACAGTTGTGAATGCTATACCAAAAAGTGAAAAATACATGAATCAGTGTTACTTACTACGTAGTTAATAAATTCATTACTCTATCCCATACTTTTATGAAAAACAATTCAACTTTCATGTGTTTCATGGGATTTTTGCAAGTTATTTTTTTAACTTTTCCCTTGACAGCAAATACAGTTGCTGTCAAGGGAAAATATAGGATATTAATGATTACGAGACTCTATGTTGCGAAGACGAATATCAATCCAAGAAGCTACAGCAGAAAACCTTAAAAAGCAACTTAGTCTAACGCGATAAGTCATTATATCAGACTAGAAAAAAGCAAGTGACAGCGATAATGAGTTGATACTGATCTTCGCATATCTTCAACCATCCACCAAAACCCATAAGAATTCACTGGGATCTAGTAGAATCCACAGAATCCAAGAATCCAGGAGCCGCTTCACCCCTTGGACTATTATTTTTCATATGTTGAGCTGCTGTGTCAACAACGATGCAACCTAACAGAGTTGCATTCAAAAGAGAAGGAAAAAATCATAAAATGCACAAAAAGAAAACACAATATACTAATTAAATTTCTCTTACACATTTTTACGTCATCACAACAAATTTTTTTCAGAAAGAATTACCATCGCATGAAAAGGAAAATATTTGTTTTTAGTAGATTACTCTTTCGCAATCAGTGAACAATATTTTGTACTAATAATGGAGACGATTGATCATAAGTTGTGACTCGAATTTTATTATTACAAACGTTTCTTGGCATGCTAGACTAATGTGGGTGTTAGAAAAATTATGAAAATGAGTCATTTTTATACATTCTACAAGCAGTGACCTAAAGAGAAAACACCGTAGACGGAAACAATCATAAATTAATTAATATTATCTGTCTGCTCTAGATACATACTTCAGTTCAGGAGATCGTTGTTGAAAACAAATAATTCTTATGAGAGATCAACAATTGCTATTATTTTCTTTTATCATAGTAATAGTCACTGACTTTATTGTATTGAGCATGAACTGAAAGTCAGTTGTTTTGAAAAGACTGTTTTTTGTCACTTTAAATTGCAGGCAAGCATATGGTTCAATAGTTAAAAAAGATTGAGAATATAATGCGAAATTTATTGCAACGTTCTCGTTCAAGTAAGTATTTGACGTTTCTTTGCGTTATCAAAATTAGTGATTACCAGAAAGATATCGACTGCTCAATTCTCAATCATATAAGCTCTAAATTAACACTCTTCGGGTTCCATTAAATTTAAATTGCCTTTCTTTTATTAATACATTAGACTATATATGATTAATTTTTGTTGTAAAACTTTATTACGGTGAATATTTCAAAGATTTAATCGGATCTCATCTCGCCTTGCTCATTTTACCGTCTGTTATAAATTTATAAAATTCTATTATTGTTTCTAAAACGACAGAATCTATCCCGAAAGTTTTATGATATTTTTTGAAACACGAAAGTAAAAGATGGCTACAAGTTGGTAATTATGCAAGATACACGCACAGTCTATTTCATCGAAGAACAGTTAAAGATTGCCAACAGAAGAACGGACAACAGAAGTTATATTGAAGAAATAGGCCGTTGTCTGCTCGTTGATATCGAATATTTTTGGCATTCATGCATTAGCAGTGATAAAGATGACAAGAAAACCGATGAGATTAATTACTATGCCAGTTTTAATCTAGAGATTTAATATCAAGTTAGATATAATATTACAGAAAATATTATGCTCACCATATCGATAACTCGAATGGCACCACCGGAAAAAACAATAGCATTCGGTGGTGTATCTGTATTAGAAAGAGGCTGAATGTTGCCTTATAAGATCTCAACATAACGCTTACCTATAGGTAGCATAAATGCAAGAGAGACAGCCAGTGTGCAAGGAAGAATGAGAAAACCTGGATGGATACCAGAAGACGTTGCCTAGCATATAAATATATTATGTAATTAAATAGAATTAATTAAATATCAACGTTATCAACCAGATTAAAAAATTCTAGTATGTAGATATGAATAAAATAGCGTTTTAATACGAGAAATCTTTGCTAGAATAGAGTGTTATTATTTCACTTACCACTGAATCCAATACGGGTAAAAAGATGCTGGCCGTACTTGTATTTGAAGTTACTTCAGTAAAAAATCCACTAACAATAATTATGATAATACTAGCCGCAGCTCGTGGCACACCAGATACAAAGCCAAGGATTTGTGCCACGCTATCCGACAATTTTGATTTCTTAACAATTGAGTTACATATGTGTGTGTGTGTTAGGCAGTTGTCTTTACTTCAACATACTTCAAAAGCAGTGGCGATTGTGAGACCAGCACCAAGCAATAGTATTGAACCCCATGACACATTCTGTGCCAATTGAGTCCATTTTACAATGGGCTCATATTTCCAATCGTGTTTGCCTTAATGATGAAAGCATCGTTTATCAGCATTCGTTTCTTTTAATGTAAAAATCGAAAATAATATCTTACGATTAAATGGACTACTGTCTGGTAAAATTAACGGAAGTATTCCACAGAAGATAGCTACAGTACCGTCAGTAATGTGTCTAACAAACAAAAAAGAACGCGTGATCTTGTCATGTTAGATTTTCTTTGTAAAAAAATCCGATACGTACTTGGGCTGAAATATCAAACTCCATCCAGTTGTATCGGACAACTCTCTTGTCACCCATAGAACAATCAGCATAATGAATATGGCAGCTACAGTGACTTCACTCCATCTACAAGTGTGTGAGAAGAAATACGTGCGTATGTAGAAACGCTCTTTTATCAAATACAATGGTTCACTTTGGTCGTCCTAGATCTTTATATTGTTTGTTGAGCATGGCTTTCAAATGAGTTTGAACTTCAAACATTTCAGGCGGTGGTCGGCATTGAAACAATCTAGACAGAGATACGTCAACATTTTCATTTTTCAAAGTGGACTATGTTCTCTCATAAGTTATGTTGCACACGTACTCTTGTTTGTTATAGCACCATTGTAGCCAGAACCAGCAAAGTATAAGCATTAGTATTCCAACTGGTAGAGCAAAGAATAGAAAATTGAGAAAGTATATGCGAAAACCAGTACCACCATATTTACTATGTTATATGCAACATAGTCACTTATTATTTGTATTCTACCTATTTACCTCTCTACAAAACCTTTCAGATAAACATTAGGTGTAGTACCAACCAAACTAGATAGTCCACCAATAGATGATGAATAGGCTACGGCAAGTAGAAATCCTAGATAGATACCAATATGCATTGAAATAAAGATGAAACTAATTCCGAAATTCGAAAGAAAATTACCTTTCTTTAACTGGTCATGTTTTTTCTTGGAGCTATCGTCGACTTCAGGTTTTTGTCGTTTACAGCATAGTAATTTAAAGTGAGTATTGGTCTCCACAAAAGTTTTTGATTTTCTATGAAAAGAAGAAAGTCTAGACTTGACAAGAAGCTTTAGTTTTATATACATACGGTCTTTGACAACTTTGAGTAGTATGAGTGAGCTCTTCAATTTTGTTGTCGTCGGACTCTTCTCCATTTGTAGAATCGAATGCAACTAGATACATTTGAACAGCTTGCTGTCTGTTGAGAGAATTTTCACTGTAAATTCCAAGTTCATGAACAACGGCCAACGCTACAGGCAACATAATTGATGTCGATGCAGTATTGTTCATCCACATTGAAAGAAATGCCGTTGCTCCCATCATACCCGCCATGATCCTAGTTTGGCATAATAAAAATTCAATACTTTAGAATTGAATAAACTTAAAAACATCGAGGAACAGAAAGCAACGAAATATGAAAAATAGATTTTACTCCTAAAAAATTACACTTAGTTTAGTGATGAAATTGTTCAATTAAAATGTTTATGATACTTCTCAACTGAATGGTATCATTGATTTTAACGGGTCGATTAAAATTTTCAATACCATTTAGTTGCCATACCAACCCAACTCAGTACAAACAAAGCAATGCGTCGATGAAGATTGGCTTTTTCTACAACATAACCAAATGCCATACTACCAAAAAACAGTGAAATGATGTCTTTGAAATAGTGAGGTGCCACAACATCTGCAGTTAGAACACCGGCCTAGGGAGAAAAATGTTATCATTGACTTTACAAACTAATTAAGATATTTTGTTGTTTTTTAAATCACTTTATACTCTGAGCTCTATATAACCTTCTATATTTTCAAGAAGCATTTAATAAAACATCAATCCAGTACACCGAGAGAATGAGTACAATGTAACCGCATTGTGCTTGCTTTAAAGAGAAAGGAAGAGTCTTAGCATACTTTCTATTGAATAAAATACACTAGGTAACATACGGAATTGTTAATAATAATAGGGAGTGGCAGCAGGATCAATGGTGTTAGAATGAGTAGCAGTAAATTCCAACGTTGCTTTAGACAATTTAAGAATGATATTTTCGCCATAAATCCAATCAACGGAACGTTTATATTGTGAACTGTTATTGTTAAATTCTTATGCAGTCAGACTCAGACAGCTGCTGATTCTATATTTTAAATGACGTAATAGCTTAATCTGCAGAACTTTTGATATAGAAAATGGATCCTTATTATTCATTCTTTATAGACATGTTATCGCGTAGGTGCTTTTCCTTGATTCAATATGAAGAATATTGCCAAAACACTCAAGATTAATCTAATACCTAATCCAATAGTCGTGTTTTATCACTAGTTCTACTACTATTAACATTTAAAAAGAATGATGAGAAAGTTTTGTCCTACCTAAATCGATGTATTGATGGTGTTATTCGACGTTAAACAAAAGAGAAAAACAATATTAGCAAAGAACATGCATCACATTCTTTCAGAATAGAGAACAATGATGAATCGATGACAGAAATTCAAAACAACCCCTAAGACAACGTATATTGTGGTTAGCATGTGTAAAATGTTCTATATAGAGAGTGTGAATGAGACTTGAAATTAATTCCTAATCTAGCACTGATAGTATTTATATTACGAGTAAAACACTTTTGGAAAGATATTTGACTCCTGTCACAAGGATATTCAATTTTTTTCCACAAGTATACGGCAATAGCTTAAAATTAAATCTACTATAGGTTCCATGCAAATATGTTTATTAAAATAAAAAGACAAATATTATGACTAGTCGATATTTTGAAAAGCAAACCATTAATAATTCTATTGTCAATATCCTCAAATGTCTCTCCTATACAAGCATTGATATCATAAATTAATAATAGTGATTGAAACGACGTCGAATTGCATTTCATTTTTGACTAATTATTGTTTTAAATTCTCGTTCATAAGTTTTCGAAGCAACGACGGCATGAACGAAACGAAGTAGCCAATCAAGAAAATGAATGGCTCGCGCGCGGATTTCATGCATCCAGATGCGAAAGAAATTATTAAACGAGGCATACCCAAGATAACCAAACAACTAGAACTAATAATCAAATGTTTATGTTTTCGAAATTGCATCTTTATATGTTCCATATACGAGTTTTGTTTTTTAACTGATGCACGTCTTGTTGCAATAGAACCGATGATGCTCATGGCTGAGATAAGTTTAAGCCCAAATGGAACAATAAAATGAAAGATGTTAATGAATGAATTGAAGATTTCAATACTTGGTGTAAAATGAACCATACACCAAGTTCGTTGTTCTTCATCGTCATCAATCAGATAACGATGAATAGGATCATGCAAAAATGAGACACATGTAAATAGAGAAATAACAATGATTAGTAATTTAGCCATTGGTTTACTTTTTGTCAGATTAAATTTTACATCAGCAATGACAGTAACGAGAGGTTCAACAGTTCACATGCATGAAATCAATCCGTGATGCCTAACAAAAATCGAAGAATAAAATCGATGGAAATACAACTGAATGTGAGAAAAGATCGCGACGTAAGAGTTGACATTTGCGAAAGGATAAGAAACCATAATTTGAAATTTAAATAAATAATAGTCAGGATCGATGTAATCGATGATGCAAGCAGATATATGCCGCAACCAACTTTTAGACATGGTTTCGACTGAAAAGTTAAAATCGATAGAATTCCAGAAATCAAACCAAACAGTAACATGATCGATGCTACAATAACACTAATTTTCACATATATAGATTGTCTACTAATAGGTAGATTCGAACGAATCTGATAGCCTAAAATTGCGCCAAACGAAAGACCAAATTGTTGCGTACTAAATTGACATTGTGTATAATATTGTGATCGAGCAATTTTTATTGGGATTGTTACTGACCGTGTATAAATATGTTGAAGCACAGTCAGATAAAATTTGCCATTGAGTTGAACGACGATAAGATGAAATGGTAATGACATAAAAAAGTAATGGCGTCTTGATCGAATCGGTACTGGATTCAGACTTTCTAAATCGTGTTCGCGAACTGTGATAAAATGAACCACAAGAGATTGAGGAATAGATATATCGTAAAATGAAATATCAATTTTGACATCTTCATATTCACATCTTTTACCAGAAAATCCATCTTGACAGGCACATGTGAAATTAGTTAAAGATATTCGATCATTATGTGGTACACAAAGACAAATCGATTGGGTATGAACAATACCAACACAAAGAGAATCTGATGAAAAATTGCATTTTTCTCGATCAAGAACAGTGTTTCTAATAGAAATCTGAAACAAAAAGTCAAATGACATTTTATATTCGTAATCAAGTGTAAAATGATACTTTGTTTATTCAAACAAAGTATCACAAAGTTTCCAAGATGTAGATTGTTAGAATTCAAGTAAAGACAAAGCAATATTTCAAAATATTTTACATGAATATATTAGGGATATCCTACTGGTAGAGGGATTCATATCTCACTCTCATGAAATTCGTGTTTTTGCCAAACGAACTTTTAAGCGGCTTATTCAGATTTCTTTTACTAATCTTGAAAACGCCACTGTAATCTACGAAATCCTGTCGAATCTAAAAGTATTTGAATCGATGTTCTGAGACACATATTTCGCACTCGCATATTCTTCTCCTATATCTTGAGATATCGAGACTAAGAGCGGTACTTTAAATTTAAAAAAATTAAGTGAAAATAGACTATTCTACAAGATTTTCTTTTGCAAAAAGAAGATATCCGTTTAATTAAAGTTCTTTTTGAAGATTATTTTTCACAAAAAACTCAAGTAGATTTCATCTTTTATGAAAAAAAGATTTGTCTACAAAATCTTGAGAAACAAAAATGACTTAAACTTTAAATTAAAGTTAAAATGTTATCCCTAATCGAGACACTTCTGTTCCGTGCCTATATAAGATTAAATCGAAAATATACAACTTCTAGAGTTTAATGATGAGCAATTCGTTCATCTTATATTTCATAGATGAGGTAAACGAAAACAACTGGACGGTATTCGAGTTTCATTCGTATACGAAATGCGATACGAAGCATTAATTCGTATCTCTTACGAAAAATCTTCAATTCAGAAAAATCTTAAATGCATTTTATGTCGACATGATGAGTTTCATCACTGAGAAACCGAGAAATACTCGGTACATCCCTACTACTTAGTTTACTTTAAACACGGAATATATATATATATATATTCTGTACACATATATTAGTTACATTACTGTGAATTATACTTGTCTCGATCAATGGTGATGAAAAGGGTATTCGCATAGGTTGCTTAAAAGGTTTTGTCGAATATGAAAGTGTACCAAAAATTGAAATACAGAAAAACGTTCCAATAAATCCAAATACGTATTAACTAGAAAATTTCAGCATATCGAATATATCAATATTAATCAAAAAAATTAGAAGTTGGGATTAGGAGGTGTACATGGTGAAAAGCAAAGTGTAAAATACAGTGTCAATCGAAAATCGCAAGGATCTCGGACACTTTGTCACAAAGGCGGACACCTGCTGTTAGAAACACTGATCAAGAAAAGTTGTTTGAAAATTTGTCGATTTACAACGACAAAATTCGCTATTAACAAGCTTCTGTTGTTCACGATGTTTTAAATCGCACACTCTATGCCAGTGTTATCATGCTGGGATTATCAATTCAACGGTAACACGATTGGCAGGCAAGAAAATAAATTTGACTGGTATATAGACGTATTTTTCTATCAATTGATATAGATAAAAATAGATGGGGTTTTAATTTTATGACGATGCGATACTTGTGTTCTCGATGTATTCATCATGCTTTATGTTCTAACAAATTCATATTGGTATAACCGGTGAACAACTTACACGGATTAAATAAGAACGGTCAATGTCAGCTGGAAAACAGTATGGTTATGATTAAATTATTAATTCAATTCATAAAATGTATTATTAAAAGTTAACAAATCTATGCATGTATTAAGGCATCATATTTATGCTAAATATAATCTTGAATAGTTGATAAATAAATACATGAAACTATCTGAATTAACACAAAAAGGTTGAATAAAATCTTTTAACGAGTCGTAATCAATCATTATCAGATCGAACTTTTTCTCAACAAACCGCGGTGCTGAACTACAACGTCATAATCGTTCGGATGGTGAACTTAAACAGCAGCATGAAGTTCTTCTGTCTACTTTACTTCTTGAACAACAATTACATTCAACATCAACTGATGAACATAAACGGCGTGTCAACGAAGTAACACTAAAAGTCAAATATTAATTATTAGATATAAAAATACAGCACCTCGATCACCACCGTCTACTGTTGATTTTTATTTCAGTGATATTACTGCTAATACAACACCAATCGTAGATGGTGACTCTGCAAAACAAAATGAAATAATTGTTCAACAGATTTTATTTACTCAATGTCATCGAGATCTTGAACAAGATTCAAACAAAGGAATTGAAGTACTTGAATCAGCTGAATATGAATGGAAATCAGAAACTAAACGTGGTCAACAACAAAGAGATGATTTATTTTCCTCTCCAATAAATTTAATTCTATCATTATTTTCATGTTTAGATAAAATTAGATATTGGTGAACTTTTATCACGCTTCGAATCCTAAGAAACAAATTGTTTGAATAAAGAAGAATTTTGATGTGACGTTGACAATTTAAAACGTATGCAACAAGAACATATATCTAAATTAGATACAAATTTACTAGCATCCTCATTTGATGAGGAACATGTTGTATGGTTGAAAAAGAAAAACACGTTTAGAAGAACTCTATGATCATTTATATGTGCTTGATAAGAACTGACTTATTTCTGCTATGGTTAAATATTTACATGTTTTCAGTAATTTTGTCAGATAAATTAGTTAAATCAAACGAATAATTGATTCTAAATATTTTTTAATCTATTCCAGTGAGTACCACTTGTTATGATGGTCCAACAAAAGATCATTCAGGACGAGTCGCATGTCAAGGCATGTAGTTTTTATCTTTTAAATGTTAAGTTGATCTGTTTTTTTTTAAATTCTAGGAAACATTGTTGAAATTGTGTGATGAATTACAGCCGAATTTAATATTGACAACTGGTGGAACGGGCATCGATTCCGATGATATGACACGAGAAGTATGTATGCTTGTACTCTTTTTTTATTTAATAGACTCATTTCTGCTTTAGGTGGCGAGTTAAGTTATTACAAAGAAAATCTCTGGCCTAACACAGACAATGGTTGTGAAGTCATTAGCAATTGCTCATATGGTTACGCTGTTGAGGTGAAATTCCTTTTGCCTTTTCTATGTAGACCAGTAGTAGTAGTAGTGCGTATTAAATATTATTCTGTCGTACATGAGCCAAGTTATCTTTCGTTCTGTTGAAGGAATGCTTAGATTTGATTCAAAATCGATGTGCTGAAGTAGCTATGACATAATAATATGTTAATCAAATGTTAGATAGTTGATTAGTCGTCTACAATGTGAATAGTGGATGTTCAGATACTGGAGGAGGAAATGTGAATTCAAACTCTTTTAATTCAGACTAGTACATCACTTATACATCACTTATGGAAGGCCAATATTGCAGGGATGGGCGAGTCGCATTATTTGAATGACTTGGACTCGACTCGGACTCAAGAATTTAGTAGCGATGACTCGACTGTTTGACTCGAGTCAGTCGAGTCATTTATTCGAAAAAGAAAGTTAATTTTTCATTGAAAAAGAATTTCAATTTATAAAATTAAGCACGCATGTGTTCACAACGTTCGTTCTAATCGAATATATTTCATTAGAAAGAATTTCCAAGAGGTTTTTTCTAATTATATCTATGTATTTATATGCTCAGAAAAAGATCGTCTTAATAGAGTATTGAATGCAATTTTTTCTCCTCGTTTTGTTTCGGATTGTTTTGAAGAATGCACGTGTTTATCTATGAAAATAAAAAATGGTTATTTCCAACGTTACAATTTGATTCAAACAAAAAAGTAAAAGTTGATAACTTAACTCCTAGTTCAGCTTCAGAAGAAATCGATTACTTTCTCCAAGAAGAAAAGTTAACTAGCGATCTCATTTTCAAAAGAGAAAATTCATATACCTGTCTTAAAAATCTGCACCAGTTGAACGTGTCTTTTCTCGGAGTGGTCTTCTAATGAGAGACTGAATCGTTCGCGTTTTACAGAAAATAATATCTGTATTTTAATATCTTTGAAATGCAATAAGACATTAATTTGAGTGTAAATAAATCCTTTTTTCTGTAAGATTTAAATTAAGTTATTGTTTTAAAAAATGCTTTTTTTTCGTAATATGAAACTGTATAAAAAAAAGAGCTGATTTTAATATTAACCTTTTTTGTTCAATCTGGAATAGTTGTTTATAGATATTGTGGAATGACAAATTGTTGTTAAAGTCTTTTGTATTTAATAAAATGAAAAAAAGCCTGCTAAAAATAATTTGACTCGACTCGCCCATCCCTGCAATGTTTAGAGGAGAAAAGTTTTCGTATTATTTCTGAATGTTCATTGAATCAAGATATTAGGTTCTGTATAGAGATACTGACGATGATATTCAAATGAGTGAATTTGCTTTACAAAAGAACGTTCCTTTGGGACTTGCTGACCTAGGTTTACTTGCTACAGTTGAACCACAAACAATACATGTTTATGATAAACTATGTGTAGTCGTTCTTTCAACTGATAACAGGGAAATTCGTGATAGTAATAAAATCATGTTTATGAGGGTATTAAAATGTACAACATACTATTTACTCTCAGTGTGGCATTATTTATAACAAGTAACTTTGATTCGTATTCCGTATCGTTTTAAACAGCTATTTCGAGAATTTATTCTAGTGAAACATCGGCTGTTCAAACAATACAATTTCATCATCCAATAATTCGTGTGCAGTTATATATATATTTGAATTAACATGAGAAATGTTTTATTTGATCATTTAGTTTAATCAATCCATTGATCCACGACCTTAATATATCCGTGTCACTATTATTGAGTGGTCAATAAAATCCTCAATTCCCATAGCACGCACTATTTCACTAGATACTCAACGTAGTTTACTCAGTGCTCGATGTTGTGAAGGTTTAGATGGTTATAGTCAACAAGCTGATTGATTTAAACTATCTGTACAGTAGTACGTGATTTAGCATCAGAAAAACTCAAATGACATTTTTTCACCGGGGCACATGATTTATTTTTCTGGTGATTATAAAAAGCCATGTTATACGAAAATCACATTATCGTTCCTTCTTGTGAATGAAACATTGAGTCTGTTGACTTCATACATCAGTGCACATCAACAGTCGAGTTTTTTTGTCACGCAAATGTTTCTCTAGTCAACCTAATCTCTCACAATTTTTCTTGATTTATAAGTGAAAGTGTTGCTCTGGTAAGTCGATGTCGCGATCAACCTGCACATTTTCTTCATCGCAACATGTATAAAATCCGTAAAGAACATTTACCTCTTGGTAAGTTTGTATTAAGCAATCTTCCGAGTCCATTCATAAGAGACATCAAAAGATCATTTACAGCAACCGAAAGAAATGTTACTCACTTGAGCTAAGGATAGTGAACCAATGAAATTGTGAATGCCCATTCTATACTTCCTATAGTAAAAAAATTTAATTGACATTGTGAATTAATATATCACTTCGATGTTGTCTTTCAGCATGTAATTATCAGTGAAAAATAATGATGCACGAATTAAATAATCGAACTATTAAGTATGCCAAACCCTTCAAGATATATCGGACATCTTTATAGACTACTCGACGTCGGTGCTCATTTGCATCGTTTTTCAATGACGAACCATTGAATATCATAAATTGGTAGCTGTTAAAAATCATGTTCACTTATCCCATTATGTTCAGTACTAGAGAACCATATAAAAATGTAAATTGCTTCAGTTAATGATATTTCTTTAGCAGTACGATATGCATAATTGAAATATTTTGTATGCTGTGTATCTATTTTTGTTGATGTCTACAATACTAAAATCCTTCAATGAATCATCATTTTGTTCAATTTAACCGCTCCACACATCTAACACTGAGAAATATGTAATGATAATCGTTTGAATAAAATCAATAATTTTTCTTCAGTATTATTTGTAAGAGAAAATCTTTCTTAATTACTAAGCCAATTCGATTCTTTTACCGATTATCCATAGATCACATGTGTTTCTTTATCTAGTGAACGATTCATTCATTCTTAGTCGATTTCCTCAAAGATTTTTCTCGATACACTATGATTACCCTGTTCAATAATTAATAGCTAGGATAAATATATCTTCATGTTCACATGTAAAAAAAGTGAACCAAAAGTCACTTTTAATCGCTTTTTATAGTAATAAAGTCATTTTTCTTACTATATTTCACTTTTTATAGTACTTTTTGATAATTTTTCCACTTTCTATAGTACTTTATCACACTTTTCTTGCTTTCAAAAGTGCTTGTCAGTACTTTTTAGTCAAAAAGTATGAAAAGTACTTAAAAAGTTCACTTATATGTACTTTACCCTGCGTTAAACCTACTATTGAAAGTATTTAATAGTTACTTTTTTGGGTAAAATTTTTTACATGGGTTACCGAACTGATTTTTCTATGAATAGTTTTCTTTTTGCACTGTGAATCATATGTTTATCATGCTTACTCAGATTAAGTTCTTTTTTTGCTTCATTATCTCTCACTGGGAACATAGTTTTTTCATGCTTTGTTTTTATTCGGCAAATAATTCGTTTAAAAATATAACAGAAAAATTTAGATTCAAGCAACTGTTTTTCAATCGAGTTCAGTTAGAACGAAACAATATGCTCAATATTACAATACGTAATTCAATTCAGTGCGGAACATAGAACACTACCAATCTCATATACAGTAAATTACATCGACTACTATTGGTTATTATTGTCAAATATGTTTATTGAAAGCAATACTCTAAACTTAACTTGTAGCTTACTCTGTCGTATTTTTAAGACATAATGATAAAAAGAAAAACATTTCATCAATTCCTACTATTGTTCTGTAAATACAGTTTCTACTGCAAGAAAACAATGAATATATTTCAATAAGATTTAATAAAATTATCGATTCATTATGTTTCAGTGATTTTTCAATTTAATTAATCATTTACAGGAGTTTTATTTTAAAAGGACGAGCTAGTGATTACATGCAATAACAAGTTCATACGTATTCTCAATTAGAGGTGTCAGCCGAAGGGTTGAACGGCGACGGCGGGCAACAGTTTTCAATTTTTGAAGATTTCCAGCGGCTCGTTATTTGAATGAGTAATGTCTTCAGCGGCGGCTGCTACAAATTCTT